GATTGATTCCTAGATATTTCATTTTTTTGGATGCAATTGTAAAAGGAATTGTTTCCCTAATTTCTCTCTCAGTGAGTCTGTTATTTGTGTACAAGAAGACTATTGTTTTTTGAGTGTTGACCTGGTACAAGGACTTTCTGAGTCCCCGAAGTCCTCCCACTTGGTGCAAACTGTGCTGGGTGTCTCCATGGATATGGGTGACACAGGAGACAATCTACATTGTGGCTTTGTCCCCATCAGTGCCTCCCACAGTATCCCCTGGATGGTCAGCCATTCTTCTAGAGTGGCTCCTCCATGTTAGTCACTGTCACAAAACCTGGTACCCCCTGGGGCAGGAGGAGCAGGAGGAGCCTGGTTCCTCAGTGCTGCCTGAGCTGGCCCTGATCTGCCAGCAGAGTAACATCCATGCCGATCCTTGTCATCAGGGCTCTATCCTATACGGACGCAGCTTGGCTTTTGGACCCAAGTTCAGGTTCTCATTTCGATCTCTGTGTAGATTCTTTAGTTGGATTCAGTCCAGTGCTGCAGATCAAGGTCTCCCACTCAGCAAGACCCTTCCATCTTGGCATTACCCGGCTGCTTAGTAAATACCTTTTCATTATCTCAGATACAAATGTCAAGGAAAGGCAGGGCCAGGAACACTGCCTTTAAGGTGGGTCATAAAAACCATCTGTTGAACCTGACATTTTTTTTTTTTTTGGTACTCGGGATCAAACTCGGGACCTTGTGGTTGTGAGCCAGGCAGTGGCACCATTGAGCTAAATTCCCAGCCCAAACCTGAGATCCTGATACCCTCTGTGGTAGGCTGAAGACTGGCCTCAACTATGTTCTTGTCCCCACTTTCGGAACCTGTGAAGGGACCTGTCTATGAAAAAGGGGCCTTGCAGGGGAGCATCTTGGAACATCTGGTTGGACCCAATAACCCCTTGGGATAAGAGAGGACAGACAGCATTGACCACGGTGAGGGAAAGAAGTGACCGTGGACACCAAGTCTGGAGAGATGGGCCAGGAGCTGCGTGCTACCGTTGCCTTTGCAGGGTCCTTTTCCCCAAGCCTGGGGGAAGAACTAATGCCACCTATGTTGACTGTAGTCCAGAGGAAATGACTTTGGACCTCCGGCCTCGAGAGCTAAAGAATTGTTTGGCTTGTGGTGGTTTCTGTTTGCTTGGTGTTTTTCTTTTTTCTCCATGCTGGGAATTGAACCAAGGGCTTGGCACATACTGGGCAAGTGTGCTACCACAGAACCAGACCCCTAGCCCAGTTTGTGGTGCTTTAAGCCACTGCATTTGTGGTCATGTGTCCCAGCCACAGGAGAGGAATCTACTGCTCTGCCGCGCGGCTCCTAAGGCCCCTGTCCTCGCTGTCTGCAGGGCCCAGCAGCCACCCTGGGCTGCTTTCTGGCTTTGCAGTCCTCTCACTTGGGAAGCTGGTGGTTCTGCTGCAGCCAGGGCCACTCTGTCCCTCTCACCACGGCCCCACGGCGGGTACCACGCTGGGTTCCACCACTAACTACCTCAAGTGCTCGCACCTGCCCGCCACTGTGGACAGAGGCAGCAAGTGTGGCCTGGATGGCCAGGCTGCCTTCAGGCTTTTGGGTTTCTAGTTCTGTTTCTGAGAGCCTTCAAAACACCTCTTGCTGTTTTTCTGTATTCCTGGAAATCAAGCCACATGTGGACTTGTACAGCAGGAATGGTGTAGTGGGAACTCTGTTTTGTGGTTTTTTTGTTGTTTTGTTTTTGTTTTTTATGGTACCGGGGATCGAACTCGGGTCCTTGTGCTTGTGCAGCAGGCGGTGAAACCACTGAGCTAAATCCCCGGACCAGAACTCTGTTTTTGATTGAGATAAAATCAGCCACATTCCAGGCTACAGCTTGCTTGCTTGCTTGCTTGCTTTCTTTTTCTTTCTTTTTTTTTTTTTTTTTGGTAGCAGGGATCAAACTTGGGACCTTGTGCTTTTGAGGCAGACAGCAGCACCAGTGAGCTAAATCCGCCGTCCGAGATATAGCTTTGTGAGTATTTATAATTCTACATGGAAAAGCCTTCTCGGGTGCCCTGAACTCAAGCCTGGCTCCTGTCAGCCGCACAGAGCTCAGCAGGATGGAGACCACAGAGGACCTCGTGGGACAGAAGGAGGGAACTTTACCATGTGAGAGTGAGCTAATGATGCTAAAAGAACCCCGGGAACATTTATATTTTGGGTTGGGAAGAGCCTGAGCAGTGATGCGACAGTCAGCGAAAATGTCTTACGTCTCTATAGGAAAAGGTTTTTGCTGAATAAAAACTTACATAATAAAAACTTACAAAAACTTGGTCAGGAACCCTATAAACAAAAATAATTGACCAACTATAGAACTATCAATTTAAATTGAAGGCCACGTTTTATTATTTTATAAAATGCTTATTTTCAATTATAGTGTAATCTGGGAAAGACATGGTTATGACACAAAAATCAAGTTTCAGTAAGAATTTTGTAAATATAGGGGTAACTTTTATACAACACACATCTTCACATATAGTACTTTCTAGAAATAGTTCACTGATTTTAGGGTAATTTAAATAGCTAACTGACCAGGAAAAGTCTTGTTATGATATTTTGTAATGTGAAGGGGGAAAAAGTCATTAGGCAATGAGAAATCTTAAGGGCCAGGGATTTAGCTTAGTGGTTTCACCGCCTGCTGCGCAGGCACAAGGATCCGAGTTTGAACCCTGGTACCAAAAACAAAAAAAGATTTAAGAAATCCTAAGAGTGAGTAGACCCAAGATTTGCAGCGTAATTCAGAAAGAGGAAGAGAAATGTATTCCCTGACTTTTTCTTTTCTTTCCTCTTTTCTTTTTTCTTTCCTTTTGCAGTGCTAGGGATGAAATACAGGGCCTCATGCATGCTAGGCAAGCATTCTACCACTGAGTTACATCCCTAGCCACCATTTCCTGACTTTAAATATATAAGGTTCATGTTATATCTAAAATATCCTGAACTAATGGTAGGAATTGATTGATCTTTATAAAAAAATATTTCCCTCTTAAATCATTAAGTACTTTCTAGAAGTATTTATTGTGGTGGAGATCCACGAATTAATATTTCAAATATCAAAAGAAAAAGTTAAAAAGAAAAAATTTCAGAAAAAAAGGACTTTATTCACTAATACTGAAGAACTACAGGAAGTGTTAGTAATAATAGTAACCCAAACTTAAAACATTCTTAAGCCTCATTTTAAAAATTTTTATTTTTTGCAGAGGTAGAGATTAAACTCAGGGCCTTACACATGCGAGGCAAGTGTTTGACCACTGAACCACACCCCCGCCCAGGCCATAGGTTAATTTTAAATACAGTGGTGTTTGAATTATAGTCATAGTTTCTATCTTAGGTATTTTTGTATAAGAACTCTATGATCTATCAACTTACTTATCCAGATCAAAGAAAGCCAAACTACACCAGAAATAGGCTGGCTTGCTCTTTTCCCCCTTTTCTTGGGAAACTTAAGGTACTTTTACTGGTCAATTTTATTTAAAAAAAAACAAAAAAACAAAACCTCAGTAAAATAAATCTTAGAAAGTGAATGATAATAAATATTTTAGAATTGAAAAAATGAATCTGATCCCTGTGACTATAGTGATATTAACGTTTTTTGTTTTTTTGTTCCGGAGATCGAACTCGGGACCTTGTGCTTGTGAGGCAGGCGCCAGAACCACTGAGCTAAATCCCCGGCCTGATTAACATTTTTTTAACCACCATAGATTGTGTCAAGGTGACTATGCTTCGAAAAACAGGGATGTAAGAAGTAACTGTATGGGGCTGGAGATTTAGCTCAGTGGTTTTGCTGCCTGCTGTGCAAGCCCAAGGACCCAAGTTCGATCCCGGGTACCAAAAAAAAACACACACAAAGAAGTAACTGTATGTATACTGTAGATTGAACATCATGTGTACAAATATATTAGGTATAGCACCTGAGTTTTAAACTAAACTTAGGTATTTAAAATTTTTCCTATTAACTCAACAGAAAATTAGTGTCAATAAAATGTCCAAATCATTAACAGGCTAGAACAAATATGTCTGGAATCTTGTCCATGGGGAGAGGCAATTTCTATTTTTATTGCACATTTCAATGCCTAAAATGATTCATGAGAAAGCAATTCCATACTTCCCATGAGGGACAAGGAGCCTATCCTTCAAGATATGGATACTTCAAAGAGCAACACAATGCAAGGCATATTGTCATTTTTCATATGAATTGAAATCAGTAGACTATGTGCCAGTAAAATTCTATAGGCAATGCTCTATTGTAAAATCTTCTTAATAAATTACTGTTTTTTAAATATGTGAGTCTAATTTTGCATTCCTATACCCATGGACTAAATGGATTAACTAGGCTGTGTTCAGTTAAACAACTGGTATTTTCATGAACATATGAATTTTAAAATGTAAAAGCTAAACATAGTTACAGTTATCACTTTCCATCTTCATTCAAAAGTAAATGGTGGACAAACAAGAAGCTTATTATTAGGGCTGGGGATTTAGCTCAGTGATTCCTCCACCTGCTTCGTAAACTCAAGGTCCCAAGTTCAATGCTGGTACCCCCCAAAAAGCTTATTATTATTCAAATTTATCACAACAGATCTTAAAGAACTAAGTAAGTGTTCAGATTCATGCTGCTAGCTGACTTGTGCTCTCTGATGATTGCTATTGCAGTTTCTAGAAGGAGAGAAAGTTTTTATTAGAATGCTTTTCACTGGGGGAGATCAGCCCTGCTACACCCACTGTGTGTGATGAGTTAGAAGTCGTGCATCTAGACTGGCTGGAGATATGCACTGGGTCAGGAGAACTGAGGAAAGACATGCAAATTATTTTCCAAAGGGCTTAATTCTGCTTCCAGGATATGTATGAAAAGTTAGCATTTTTCAAGCCTAGGTGGTTGATTATGAAAGTGCATCCTGTAGCAAGCAGAACACACCAATGATTCCTAAACAAAAGCAGGTGTGCACACAGCTCTCAGCAGTGAAAATCACACTCTCTTCATCAGACTGTTGGTGTATCCCCCTTTAGGATACAGAACAGGAAGCATGCTGCAGAGGGTGGTCCCAGTGAATCATCAGGAAATTAAGTTGTAAAAATAAATGAATTAAATGAGAAAATAAAAACTTTTGCTGAATGAGGACAAACAATGCTCAGTAGAAGTTGGAGGTGAACAGTGTGGGTGGAGACAGGCTCACCATTTCTATCAGTTCACGAACGGTGACCCAAGCCCCCAGCAGCCGAGCCCTACAGAAGACTCTACCCTCTCTCAGCTGCGCCCACACCTCAATAGCTCCCCTGCCGGGACAGCTCCTGTGCGGGTGGGAAGCAGGGTGACCCCACCACCAGCACCTCTCTCAGGGCCCTAAAACCCAGACAGTTGCTTACGCTTTAGAAAGCCACCAGCCTGCCCACAAAGAATGGTTAGGAACATGAAGTGTTCTATTCTGGACTGTTTTCTTAAAAAAGAAAAAAAAAGCAGATCATCACTGATACATCTGTATAAATGATTTTCCTGGCAGCAATAGTTAAATTTGAACTGCTCATTCAAAAATTTCTCAACTTCCTGTATTTGAAATGCACTTAAATTTCCCCCGCTTTTATTTTATATAGGGAATTCTCATAGGGTTTAGCTGACTTATGAAGAGTTTCTTTTGAAAGAAAGTTCAAAATCTTTACTAGCATGTATGACAAACCACCTCTGATTCAATGTCCTTTTTAACAGTGCCCTTGTACCTGAAGGGAAGGGGGGCATACCTGTACCATTCAGATCAAAGCACAAAATATTTAAAAAGTAAATTCCTAAGGCATACTTAGACACTTTTATGTCAGTTTCCTCAGGGTTGCAAAGTGCCTTCAAGTGTCCCTGCATCCCCACCTGCTTTCCACCGGCAGCCCCTATGGCCCTGTCCTACTCAGTCGGCCTCTGGAGGGTAACTGCTCTTTGTCACTTGAAGCCTGCAGTTTGTCATCCTGGGCTTCACATGCAATTTCAGAAACTCAAATGACACTACGTGGACTCATTCTGAATCTTTTTTTAGTGCAGTTTGGCAAATATCCCAAATGAAATTCAACTCTAAGTTAAAAGTATGGAGCTGAGATACAGCTAAGTGTTGTCTGTAACTTTCTAGGCTGCCTAGGGGCTTGGTGAGCTCAGGGAGAGAAAAGCCAGTTGTCCGGGGACTGAAGAGCTGCAGACACCTGTCGCTTTATCACAACAGAACAGTTACCCAGAGAGACCAGGAGAGCCCAGAGGCCCCTCAGCAACCAGGCTGCTGCGAATATCTTTAAAAGCCACCCCCTCCCTTTGTCCGCACCTCCCAACCTCAGAAATGTTGGTTTCATCCCACTAAAACTCACAGGGCTAAGAACAGGAAGCATTAAACACGGACCCGCTTGGTTGAGTCTCTCCACCCTCTCCTTCCCGGGACTCCCGCGCGCTCTCCCTCTCAGTCTCTGATGATTTGAACTGCACTTTGGTTTGGGTTTCTAGAAAAAGGGTGTCATAAAGCGGTCTGGAGAGAGCACGGCTAGATCGCCAGGTCCCTCGGTTTGGCCCGTCCGCTGCTGGCTTTGCTGGACCTCCCGGTGTCCCCGAGGAGCGGGGCGGGCGCCTCCACCTGTGCCTCGGCCTCAGGGGTGCCGACCCGCACCCTCCCCTCCAGGCTGCTGCCGCTACCATCCCCAGGCCCCGCCTCCTGCAGAGGCTGGGGGGTGCGGCCCGGGGGGATCGGGGCGTCGGGAGCCCAAGCCGGAGACGCCCAGTTCTGCGCTGTCATCGGCAGGGGATGGCCTTCCCCGTGTGCCTCACCCTGGGCCACCGTTCTGAAGTCTGCGGTCGGCAGCGGGGCCCCGGGGTACCCCTTGGGAGCCGCCTGACCGGGCGCGGAGGCGGAGTGCGCGTAGTAGGGTGGGAACCCGATGGCGACCGTGGCCGGGCCGGGGCGCGCCGCCAGAGGCAGAGGTTCCGCCAAACCGAGCCTGGCGTCAGGGGCGTCAGGGCCAAGGTGGTTGGTCACTCCCTGCTTGAGCTTCTTCCAGCCCAGGTGGTAGATCTCCAGCACGTTGAGCACGAGCGACGCGCAGGCCACCGCGAGCATAAAGAGAATGAAGATGGTCTTCTCGGTTGGCCTGGAGATGAAGCAGTCCACCGTGTTGGGGCAGGGCCAGCGGTCGCAGCGGTACAGTGGCTGCAGCTGGAAGCCGTACAGGAAGGACTGCCCGGCTATGAAGCCCACCTCGAAGAGCGTCTTGAAGATGACGTTGAAGACGTAGGTGCGCAGTAGCGCCCCGGCCATGCGCACCCGGCCTCGCTCCTCGCTCCCCGGGGCCTGGTCCGGTGCGCCCGGCCCGCCCCGCAGGGCCCGAGCCCGAGCAGGGTGTGGGCTGTCCCTCCTCAGTAGCTCCTCCTCCCTCTCTTTCCTCTTTTCTTCCCTGCGCACAAGGTGCAGCACGTGGCCCAGGTAGATAAGAGTGGGCGTGGACACGAAGATGATCTGCAGCGCCCAGAAGCGGATATGCGAGATGGGGAAGGCGCTGTCGTAGCAGACGTTCCGGCAGCCCGGCTGCTGGGTGTTGCAGGTGAAGTCGGACTGCTCGTCGCCCCACACCTCTTCCGCCGCAGCCCCTAACACCAGGATCCGGAAGATGAACAGCACCGTCAGCCAGACCTTGCCAATGACTGTGGAGTGCTCCTGCGCGCTCTCTAGTAGCCGCCCCAGAAAGCTCCAGTCGCCCATTGCTCCAAATTCCTAACCTGTAAGAGGACATTGCACGGGAGGTTAGCGCAGGCAAGCTGCGGACGCCAGGCGCTTCAGGCACGATGGTGCCCGAATAGCTTTACTGAGCAGCTGTACCCTACTTCTGAGCTGGGGAACTCACCAAAGGTGTCCTCCCCATCCACAGCTTCAGTAAGCCTCAGATCAAAACAGCTGGGGCTGGGGTAAGGAGAGATTATATCTGTCCTCAGCAGGTACAGACCTGTCATTATTCTCTACACAGCACAGGGCAACAACTGTTCCCACAGCACTCATGGTGCCAGGTGTTGTGAGTGACCTGGAGACGCTATGAGGTATACAAAAGGGTACGAATAGGTCCGGTGCAGATTCTGAGCATCCTTGGATTTTGGGACCTGTGGGGACCCTGGGGCCAGTTCTTCAAGGGTGCTGAAGGCCAGCTGTGTTCATCTCCCCGTGATCTGGGCCTGCGGGATGAAATAAACGCCCACAGCACAGGGATACTCCTGGGTAACTGCCGCACTAGGCGGCCTCGCTGGCAAAGAAGAGAGATGTGTGGCCTTCTACTGTCAGGGACGAGGGAACTAGAGCGAGGAGGAGAAATGGCTCCTCTCTCCAGCCTGTGGACCCACAGGAGCTTGGGGACCCTGAGGGCAGTGGCAGCAATTCCTAATCCCCTTCAGCTCCTGTGAGATCAGAGCAACCTTACCCCAGCTGCCGTCATTCCCGCACCACTTCATCACTTCTGCCACACACATTTACTACCTCTCCTATTACTTTTCTTCATATGCTTAAATTTGTCTTAAATAGAAAATGCTACATAGCTACTGTAAAAAGAAAAATAAGCATTGGTATCATAGCATGGTAGCTTTCAGAACACACTGATGAAAACAAACTTGTGACATTTCACTCCTTATTGTTTGCTGAAAGTCCCGAATATACGTTTTGTTTAAAAGAAGGATATTAGGAGGATGAGAGAGGTGTTAAAGATAAACAGTTGTCCCTCAGCATCCAAAGGAAATGGGTTCCAGGACCCCACGGCTACCAAAATCTTCATATATTCAAGTCCCTTACATAAAATGACTAAGTATTTGCACAGAATCTGTGCACACCCTTTTGTATCCTTTAAACATCTCTAGGTAACGTACGATATCTACTAGAATGTATATGCTATGTATATAATTATATTGGGTTGATTAGGGAATAATGACAAGAAAAAGTCTGTAATGCTCTGTACAGACATTATTTTTTTTCCAAATATTTTTGATCCTTGGTTCAATCTGAAGCTGTAAAGGGCCAACTGTATTAATAGCAAACCAAGGCCTTTCCCAAGACCTCCCCAGGATAGAAATGACTGGGCAGAGTTGGCTGGGGTGGTAGATGCAGGTGAGGTTCAGCAGGACCTGGGTGCCCGCAGAGGTGCTTTGGGCCAGCTGGCCCCGGTTATCCTGCCACAACTCGGGCTCTGGTCTGACAGAGTGGGCTGGCCCTGCAGGGCACATTGGTCATGAAATAGCATGAGTGGGCATCGAGGTGTCTCCAGTGCTATGCTGGATGCTGGGGAAATACACACCCAAAGAAACAGGGAGAGAGAGGCCATCACGCTGTGGAGTCAAGGGCACTGGGCAAGGTTGCACAAGTGCAGCTACAGTTGAGGGGGCCCCACCTGGGGACAGCACTGGCTGCAGGCCATGTCCCCGGCAGGAGGTGTCCTCTGTCTGAGCCTGTGCACAATGGGGTGACAGTTTCATGGTCATACAGTGATGGAAGGAGGTAAGATGTGGACCGTCTTTGAGGAGGTGACAGTGCCCTGTAGACACAAGTGGCAGAGATGAGGTATCTCCATGTCACTGCTGCTCCAATGGGCGGGACTCTGTGAGCCCGCAGAGAAGGCTGTAGGTCTTGAGGAAGGCCATTGCAGCTGTGAGAGCACACCCAGGTCTCAGGGAGCCACACAGACTCTGCTCACTGTGAATTAGATTTTAAATTTTACAATGTTTATTAATTTTTATGAATAGCTTTGAATGTAAATAAAACTACTTGCTAGCAATCTATAGAAACAGATCACTGTTGGGCCGGGGATGTAGCTCAGTGATTCTGCCGCCTGCCTCACAAGCGCAAGGTCCTGAGGTCAATCCCCAGTACCAAAAAAAGAAAACGAAAAAAAAGAAAAAAAGAAATAGATCACTGTTAATGCTCTCTTCAAATACACTTTCAAACTTTTGCTTGTTAGTTGAGATTTCAGTTAGGGAACCCAACCCTACACAGCTTGCCATCTCCTTGCTCCATGTTGTGAATGGCATGTTTTTTGCACACTTTTAGCAGATAAGACGCTTCACTCTAGAAAGCTGATTATTGCCCGGGGCTTTAGCTCAGTGGTTCTGCTGCCCACCTCACAAGCACAAGGTCCCAAGTTCTATCCCCGGTACCAAAAAAAAAAGGTTAATTATTGTACATGAAACAATCCACTCTTTTCCGGGAGGATGTCAAGAAGCCTTCTAGGTGACCTTCTGCTTCTCCTCCAAGCCACCAGTCCTAACTCGGAACTGGCCCTCACAGCTGTCCCCAGAATGATGAGCACTCAGGCCTCCCTGCTAGGTTTCAGTGTGGTTTGCGTTCTGGAGCCTTAATCCCCGGGGTGGAGGTAGAACCCTGAAGAGGAGGTGCCTAGCAGGAGGTCTTTAGGTCATTGGGAGTATACCCTTAGAAGGGACTGTGGGATCCAACCTCTCTCTGCGTTAGATTTCTTAGATCCACACACACACACACACACACACACACACACGCGCGCGCGCGCCTGTCCACCATGACTGAAGGAGGGGTGGGGCAGGGGGCTAGAGAGGATAAACATGTGACTTTGTGCTCACAGGAATTGAGTCGCCCATGCCAGGTATTCCTTATAGTAGCAAAAAGCTAGCTAAAATTCTCCCACGGTATCTCTGCCCTTGGCCCTCCCCTCTTCGTGTCCCCTGAGACCTTCTAATGCAGTCCTGAGCATAGCTGTCAGGCATCAGGGCAACGCTGCAGATCAAACTGTGGCAGTATACAAGACCCACTGGGAATAGCCCAGCCTTTATTATTTTTATTTCATGCTTTGGTTTTTTGAGACAGGGTAACTATGTAGTCACTATATAGCCAAGGCTCGGCTGGAACTCACGGCAATCCTCTTGCCTGACCTCTTGAGACCTGGGATTACAGGCACGAGCCACCATGCCCAACCTCAGCCTTTAAAATGCCATGAAGCCTCTGCATTTGCTGTTTCTCTGGCTTGCTGAGCTGCCTTCTTTTCCCCTTCTCCTCAAGGGCAGCCAGGGCAAGCCACCATGGCTGTCTTGAGTGCTCTCTTCCCTGGGCCACATGTACATTAGCAGCTGTGGCTCCCCTCTCTGTTCTGGGAGTTTTCTTCTGTCCTCCACATGCCCACTGGCTAAGCTTTGTGGTGTCCTCTCTCCTTATGTCCCAGGACACATCAACATCTAGTCTGCAGAGGTGGCTCAACTGCCGTAGGATTTGTCCCCTTGCAGAGGGTACCACACCCTTCTTCCAACGTTTTCAGGCAGAAGAGGGGTTGTGTGTTCAGGGTCGTGTCTGAGGAGAGGCCGCCTCCTTGGCTCCCTCCTGGATGCAGAGGCCGGGCGGCCACACTGTCATGTACTTGCTCACAAGTACCCACTCATTAGGTGTGCTAGAACCCAAAGGCTGGTGTGCTCTCCACACAGGGCTGGCAGCAGGCAGAGAACTGTCCTGCTTGTCACAGACTGGACAGTGCTCTGGCATTTCCCTGTGGAGCCAGGAAAGCAAAATGCTCTACAACTCTCAGGGTGACCTCATAGCAAGGACCTGTCCCATCCCCAATGCCCCCTGTGTCACCTATTGGGAACACAGGCCAAACAAGTGCTCATTCTACTGAGAAGCTGGCTGCAGTGTCTTACTGCTTCTCCACTTGCTCAACCTTCTCCAGGGCACATCAGGTCCAGGTGCTCAGTATCCTCAAGTGTGTGCTCTTGGAACTGCATCATGACTTCAGTCCAACCTATGAGAATAATGCCATGTTGCCATCAGGTACTTTGCTGGCACTCTGTATCTGCTGGGCTCCAACACCCTAGAGAAGGATGGGTAAGAGTCTGTCCTAAATGGGAGACCCAGAACTACTGTACTATGTGAGCTGGAGCACAGAGGTAAGATCCTTCTGGAAAAGAATTCAGTCCACACACAAGTGATGTCAAAGTGATAATGACTTTGCCCTTGAATTCTAACTCTGGGACAACACACTAAGAAAATAACCAGAGATTTGGATAAATGTGTGTGCATGGCTAATTGTAACATTACTTATAAGAATAGCTAGATTCCCCTTCTAGGTACCTTCCTGAAGAGTTCAAGACGTCATATTACAGAGATGCACGTATACTCATGATTACAGCAACACAGTTCAGAACAGCTAAATCTTGGAAGTGGCCTCTATGTCCAGCTACAGAGGAATGAATAAATGCGGTATTTACACACAATGGAGTACTATTGTGCCATAAATAAGGATAAACTTGAGTCATTTGTAGTAAAATGGATGGACCTTGAGACCGTAATGTTAAGTGAAATAAATCAGACACACAAGCTTAAATATCACATGGTTTCTCTCATATGAGACACCCAGAGTAAAAATAAGGACCAAAATAAAAGACAGACAACAGGAATAGCGAGGTAGAGCTACTGCAAAAGGGAAGGGGCCAAGAGGTGATGGTAGGGGTGGAGAGGTGAGTGGAAGAGGATGAAAGAAGAATTAAGATGTATCGTGTCCCTGCAACAACTCCACACGGGAATGCAACATTGTGCACGGTCACCACCTACTACTAAAAACTAACTGAAAGAAGGGAAGGAAGAGCTGGGAACAGGACTCCCACGGAGGGCCGGCAGTTAGGTCACGGTGGCTGCCGTGCTGAAGCCAACCCGGCTGACTCAGCTCACACCGGCCCCTCCCTTGTCCGCCTCTGCTGTCCTGGAAAGAGAAACCTTTGCTTCCCCATCCTCATTATGGCTGGGGGTGACCACAGAAGGCAGTGCCAGCTGGGCCTGGCGGCGCACACCTGTGACCCCAAGGAGTTACTCTGGGAGGCCAAGGCAGGAGGGTTACAAGTTCAAGTCCAGAATGGCAACGTAGCAAAACTCTGCCTCAAAATGAAAAGTAAATTTAAGAAAGGGCTGGGGTGTAGCTCAGTGTAAAGGTCCTGGGTTCAATCCCCAGAACCTCAGTCCCCCCACAGAGGCAGCTCTATGCAGTGGGGTGTAAGAATTCTGCTGGAAGACTCTGGGAAAACTCTGGTTTTCTTTAAATAAAAAAAGGCAGATGCTGCTTCTGCTGCCTCTTTCCTTCTGAGCACAGACGTGGTGCCAGGTGCCAGGTGCCAGAGAGCACCCTTGCAAAGAGGAGTTGATACGCATGAAGGAAGGGTCATGAAACCTAGGCACCACTGTGACACTGGATCCACTGGATCAACCTGTCAGTCAGCCATTTCTGACTTCTTTACGTTTGGAGGAAAAGCTTTATTTGTTCAAGTTAGATTTCATATTGCTCATACACAGAAGAACTCCTAACTGACCCCTGCCCTTTCTTTCTTGTGGTACAGGGCTTTCAGCCCAGGGTCTTGTACATGTTAGACGGATACTCAGTGCATCCCCAGACCTTTATAAAATTATACTTTAAGATAGGAACTAACTACGTTATCCAAATTGGACTTGAACTTGTGGTCCTTCTGCCTGAGCCTCCTGAGTAGCTGGGATTATGGGAGTATGCCACCATGGTTGGCTCTGATAAACTTATCTTAAATTCCTTACAAAATAAGGCTGGGCATAATTTATGGTTCATTCATAAATCCTAAAATGTAAGTACTCTATATAATTCATAACTACTCAAATATATATTAATATATTAAGTAGGGCTGGGGATTTAGCTCAGTGGTTCTGCTGCCTGCCTCGAAAGCACAAGGTCCCAAGTTCCATCCCCGGTACCAAAACAAACATATAAAAAACAAACAAACAAAAAAACCCCCAAAATATATAAAGTATAATTTTTTTTTTTTGGTACTGGAGATCGAACTTGGGACCTTGTGCTTGCGAGGCAGGCGCCGGAACCACTGAGCTAAATCCCCGGCGATGAAGTGTAATTTTAAGCATATTAATGACATGAAGAAATGATGCTGTGATGTTGAAAGACAAGAGGCTCTCACAATACTATGGTCTGATACTAGCTCTTCTACTGTGAGACCGAAGCGACTCCATTTTGCTAAAATCCACTATTCCCCTAGTCTCTGTTGTCCTCACAAATTAATGGTTAAAATGTGCTTGCTCTGGGACAAAAGACACAATCTGTAACGAAGCAAAGTTCCTGAGTTAATTACTCAGCCATCTGTTTGCCCAGGAAATGAATGTTCCGGGCCCACTATCCATAGAACAATCTGTCAATGCGCTGACCGTCAGTACGTGACAGTCGACCACTAACCTTTGTCCCTCTTTTCCCCCGTAAAACCTACATGTAACCGCCCCTCAAACCCCCGATGGGCCTAGACAATCAGAAATGTACACTTCATGCTTGCTAACTGTCAACCAATCATGTAACTGCTAAGTGGAAAATCTCCAAACCTTGCTGTAACCTCTATAAAAACCCCGCTAATTTGAAATTCGGGGCTCTCAATCCTGATCCGCTGCCCCGGTGACTGTTGGCAGCCCCTGCTCGAGCTTGAATAAACGACCCTCGACCCTCGTGCGTTTGCATCAGAATCGGCTCCTTGGTGGTCTTTGGGGACTTCGCGATCTGGGCACAACACTACAACGCTCATACCTGCATACAGAAAAAGGAGGGATGAATACTGAAATGTTAGCAGTGGTGTTTCTGAAAATGGGAGATTCTTTTATATATCTGTGTTTTCCATAATGACACATCACCTTTATAGCCATAAAAGATTCATGACTATGACTTT